TCCCCATTAAAGTATCTGTAAATAGGATGCATATTGTTTCTTCACTGTTTGATTTTGAACGCAACTTTATATTAAGGCAGTTCCAGTGGGCTGCGTTTCCAGTGTACAGCTGGAAAGGTTGTCATTCACATTCAGCTCACTTTATTCTATTGCAATGTGCATGTTTATTCCATTACTCTACAGCAACCTCTCTTTTTTTATTTAACAGAAATACAGTCTTGTGTTAAACAGAGCTCAGACTTGACTAGCATCCTCTAATATGTCCTTCTGGTGTTGCGTCTTAGGCGTTCCTTGTTCTGATTTCCTTTTTTTTGTTGTAGTTGAAATGTTCAGGATTGTTACTGTGAAAAGTTCAGTTCTATCTTGATTTTCCCCTCATTTATATTACAGCATCACACAAGACTTACGATTCACGTGTTATGTCTTGGATACTTTGAAGCACCTGTTAAGTTCAGAAGCTAAATCTAGTGCAATTGGAGATTGTATTTTGGTGATAATAGACTGTTTTGCTTCTGATTTTATGCTGACATCAGTATCAGTTTTATTACGATGAAATTATTTTTAATTTTCATTACTGTATGCAAGATAAGGATCAAGATTGATATCTTCTAACTCATAGTATGATTTCTGTGGTAAAAGATGTGTTTTAGTTTGCATTTTTTAAATACTGTGGTTAAGTACACAAAGTAACATTCAGGCTCAGCTAACTTGCAGTGACTAATTTCTTTTGCATTTAGAAGCAAAGATGCCTCAAATAATTATTTCCTGTTTTTAACACTTCCTTCTGATCAAAGGGTGAGAATGTGAGGAGAAAAGGTATTGATGGGTATAAGGTTGTATTATTTCTAGTGAGATACCTGGGTGTGTGTATCCACCCTGGGTCTGCAGTGCTCCATGAAAATAATTCCTGATCTTGGCTTTTCTTTCTGTTTTAACTCATAATTAGAGAAGGAGAAGTTAAAAGATTTGAACTCAGGTGTGTTAAATTAATGAGGAGAAGGACTTGCTAATCCTGACTCAGTGTTGAATCTGTTAGGGAGAATGTACATCTTTTTATCCAGGACAGCTTCTTTCTGAAACACTTCAGAAGCAGTGCCATAGCTTTGTTGCAGAGTAAGGTCTTCTGTGAGTTCTAATCTGTGTGAAGTATGTGGTTCACTTGACCTTGTCTCCTAATGAAAACAGAAGATACTCTAGAGGCTGGACTTAGTGCTAAAAAGGAGATAAATTCAGGATCGTGGGAGTATAACAAGTGTTAGAAAGTACGTTTCAGTTTGTCAGTGTGCAGCAGAAAATTTCATCAAATACTGAAAATCCTTGCTCCAAAGCAAGCGGGGCACTTAAGGACTGAGATTATGGGAGATGACCATGAACCCTAAATGCTGCAGAATTACTGAAGTTCCACTGCAGTAGAGCATCTTAGGCAAAGATGCAGTGCAACGCAAAACAAAAGTCCTTGGTGGAAGGAGGAGAGTGCAGCTGTGTAGAAGAATGGCACATATGTTCACAAGCTTCAGATACACTGTCTGCAGAAAGAGTCGGCATATTCATGAATGACTGGGAAAGAAAAGCGACATGAAAGTGGTCTGGTTTGTTAGAGCCTTTGTTGTAGACATGGCCTAATAGGGAGCATGACCAGAATGTGGACAGTTTTATATCACAGGACCAAACTGATGTAGGAAATAAGCTATATCAGGAACCACAGAAGCTGCAGACTGGAAAATGAAGGCAGATAATATTGATGAGCAGGAGAAACGTACGGAAAAAATATGTTTCACATGACAAAAATCAAAACTGGATTTAAAAGCAACACAGATTTTGTGAATTAATACAATTAATTACAAGGTGATGTCACAATCAGGTGTTAATATTTTGGATGGTGCCATCTACTGGTTAAAATGCTTTATCTGCAGTAGCTCAGACATGTTTTCAGAGCTGAAGAAGTTCACAGTGGTTGTATCTCATATGCCATTCATTTGTGGTAAATTTGTCATCTAGGGTGTCTGTACATTTGTAACCGTGGATTGTATAACCTCATCTTGAGTTTCAAGGGGATGTCTTTAAAATGTTATAACATGATTCCTACACTGACATAAAGCTCACTGGTCTCCTACCTTTACCTAATTTATTGCATGAGTTCTTATGACTTCTCAAATCTTAGCAACTTAACCTGGCCCTAAAGATAATTTCTAGTAAGGAGGCTGCTGAGAGGTAAAAGTACTTGTAGCAAAAAATATACACACTCAAAAGTAACCACTTGGTGTCACTCTCTTCCAATGGTTAATACCATATGGCATTAAAGAAATACTGAAATTGTTTACTCAGTTGGTATCTCCTTTGGAAACATTATTGTAGACTATTGGGTAGGAGCAGAGCTGCTCATGTAATGTCTTCCTCTTTTAAATTAACTGTTTTTAGTATTGATTCTGTAGTGATAATTATATCTTAATATCCTGTATTGCCCATTGCAGTGCCTCTTTGATTCTCCAGGTATGAGACTGAAATTTAGAAGCTCAGTAGATGAAGCATCTCAACCACGGACCGATGTACTGGGGGAAGGAAGGGAAGATGGGGTGGCATGGAAAGGAAAGAGCAAGGCTCTGAGGAGGCTGCAGAACTGCTGCATGTCATAACTATTCTTTTTCCTGCTCCAGAACAAGTACTGGAGGTATTGCTCTCTTGTGTGCAGTAACCGTGGCCATCCCCATCACACAGTAATATAAAAATCTAAAGTATAGCACGGAATTATTTTTTGCAGAAATGCTGTAGGGTCTCAGGCATAGACTTTGCCTTTCTAAGTTAGGCTCTACATGACAGCAGAGACCATCCTTGACCTGTTAATCAAGTAATAATTCAAGTTCTGTTTTAATTTCATTCATTCATAGTATCTTAAAACTATTAGTGTATTTTTGAAAACTTTGCTTTAAGCGATGGAAAGTTATTAGGAGTTGAAAGTCATTTAATTTTCTACATTGTTCCTTTCCATTCTTCACTGTGAAACATGCTCTTTTCCCACTGACAAAATACTTTAGACTAAAATGCTTCTACTTGTAAAATTAACCCTTGTTTAGCTTGGCTTGTTTTGAAGGCTTGTTCAGTGACTTCTGAACTCTCTCATTCTTGATAGGAACTAGTACAAATTTAAAAGAAAAAAATCTTAAAACACTATTTAGTGATGGTAGAGATAGAATAGAATAGGTAGTAGGAATGAGTGGATTGGAAATTTTATGAGAAAGCCTGTTGCATGACATTTGCAGTCCCGGATTGCAATGTAAAGAGGATAAATTAATCTCTGGTTTAAGGGCTTGTAATTTCAGTTGAAGTCAAAGGGGGTAATGCATGTTTACCCCAGTGCTGAAGTTGACTCTGCAGCTCCATACTTTTGGATGCCTGTCCCAGTTGAACAGAAGGTCTTAAATCCGTTTCAGTCTAGAATATGGGCTGAAAAAAAAAGGTGTGGATCAGAGACCTGTGCCCTACAAATGTGTGCAACCATTTAATAGATATTTAGTCCTCAAATTGCACTCTCCACATGTTCCAGAGCAGCAAAACATTTCCTAACAGCCTATATGAAATTTAAGATCTAACTTATGAAATACTAAAAGTTGCAAAATCTTCAAAGTGTTGCAGGAAAATGGCAGAAGGGATTAAAGGCATTACTGGTGACTTACAATAGTGCAAAACTGAAAATATTTTATGATCTCAGGACACAGTCCTTTTCGCACTTTAGAGAGGAAGGCAATTCCTCCCCAAAATAATTCTAACCTGTGTAAGCTGAGGCACATTCCTTCCTGTTCCCAAGGTGTTCTGATTCAGAGTGTTTAATTGGTAAATTGTCCATTAGAGTTTGGCACTGGAAAAGAAAAGGAGAAGCCAAAAGAAAGGATTTGATCCCATTACTTAATTCCACTGTATAAAAAAGGAAGGTGCTTGTCCAGACTCCAGTATGTATTTCATATCCCATCTTCATTCTCCCTGGTTAAAAGCAATTTGAGGAAAGTTTGCAAATACGCAAGTTCTGTTATATGATGAGGCAATATTTGTGACTGGCTAAAGCATCCTATTTTGATTTCTGGACTCTTCGTGACTAGTTGTTGGGTTAGCTGTCAGGTTTATTCTTCAGGTGTTCTGAAACAAAAGTGCTGAGACTAGGTAATCAGAATCCTATTAGTAAGACCAGGATACCAAAAACTCTGCTCACTGCCCCTGTTAGAGTGGAAATAATCTTTTTTTGCACAGAACAAGAGTTTATTCTAAACAAGCCTGAAGAAATGATCTCTCAATCAGAGTTCTGTGTGAAGAGCAAAGGAGCAGTACTTACCTGTTTTCTATACCCTGAAGTTTTGTTCGCCAGTGATTATGTGTTGAGCTGCGTGTGTGGGAGGAGTGTATAATAAATGTGTATATACACACACATTTTGCTGCTTCTGATATTTTCAACCTTTTCAGGTATTTCAAAGTGCATTTAAGGTTAATATCATGCTGTGGTAGAAGCAGGTAGAGGTGGAAATTCATTAGAAAGCTATAGCTGCGAAAGACCATCTTACCATTGGATGGCACTGCAGTCCTTAGTGCTCGTAATAATCATACCCTCTGAATAATTTTACTCCTCATAAGAATTTTAGGTCAAGCAGCAACTAATAGGCAAATAGGCACTGGAAAGATTTTTTATGGCTAATGTGGAATTAATAAAATAAAATTATACTTGCAGAGCTGGCTCTAATTTTGCAGCATTAGGTTTTAGAAAGCCCATACTCAAATTTTCCCAGGTTGCTTAGCTTTCAAGATAGAGATTTTAAAATGCGGTTAATTCTGGTTTTTGGGACTCAGGTAGCATGTTGCTCTCTGCTGTCATGAAAGATGTTATGGTTATGTTTTGTGATTATAGAATACCCAGGACTTTCACTCTTTTATTCTTTAGGCAAATGTTCTGTATTAATGAGAAAATGATGTATTCAGCAACCCTGTTTTTAAAGCATGGTTTTTATTTTTCCTCACAGCAGGTATGGCATATCTGAATGTGGAATCCTCTTTACCTGAATGTCTTAGAGCTACAGAATGGGTGAGTGTTTAAGTCCGGCCTTACTGCGGGCCTGCAATTTTGCAAAGTTGTGGTTGCTGTTTGTGCCTATGCAAGGAAGCACTGATTTCAGCTTGGGCTATTGATACGCTGTTAGTTTAATACTGAGACAGTTATGTCATTGGTATCACTATGACCATAGCATGGCGTTCAGTGCAAGCAAGCCACTCATGAATTCACTCAAACTTCCTATAGGGATTTGCAGTCTGTACGGAATTCATTGCAACCAGTACAGTTAGTTTGAAGCTAACTGAATTATATTCATGAACTGCTGACTAGACTCTGGGCTATATATTCACTTGCAAAGTGTTTGGCAGCAATATTGGCTTATTGGCCTCACCTCTTGTGCCACCTGCTGCTGGTTTCTGTGGTATACCACCCCTTGCATTGTCTCAGCCCAACTATTCATGCAGCTGCACTTTGAAACGGATCTGGGAACTCATCTACTTAAATATATATATATATATAGTGTTCTGGTTTAGTTTTAAGCCAGATCAGGTCTGCAGGATAGCTAACCACATGGCTACAGAAACTGTTTTTGTAGTAGAAGAGAGTACAGTGATGCTCGGGCAGGAAAATTATAGAATAAAGTATCAATACCTTAAGCAAGTATTACCACTAAAGACTTCATCTTGTGATACCACAGCTAAGTAAGTGTCCTATTTTAGTGATTTAAATTAAGGTAAGATCATATTTTAAGTGATTCTGTTTGGAGTTACTTCCATATGCCATCTCCTGGATGATACATAGGTATAGTATGGGCCCTGACAAACACAGATATTCGGTTTTGTGCACAGCTCAATGTGGAGCGTAATATTTCTGACAAAAAAAAAAACGCATAAGCAAGATCACCATAGGTGGCAGAAACTATCTCATGTAAAAAGAGTGCTCTGAAATTCTTTTTAGAAGGCAATAGAATGAAAGCCTTCAAAGTACTGTGATCTAGTTTCAGGTAAACCTTTAAGTGCAAAAAAAGTAATTATATGAAAATAAGAATATGTCCATTTTAACCAGTATTCTGAGAGGTGACTTTTTATATTGTTTTATATATTTGTCTCCCTCTCTCTCTTTCTCTCTCTCTCTCTATTTATTTATACCTCTAGTGACCAGCTGTTTCTGGAGACATATCTTACTTCTTTTGTAGTGTGTGAGTTCTTCTATCATTCTGAACTTATTTCCCATAAAGGGAAAGAATCTCAGATCAGCTCTTCTTTCGCTTAGTCCAAGAAGAGCTCAGTATAACTGGCTTAGAAACTAACAGCTCATCTGGATTGGCAGAAGGTCCTTTTACACGTTGTATTTCCCCAGCACTGTGCATAAACAAGCAACCTTCACCTGAAATATTTTTTCCAAGTCAGATATAGTGAAAATTCCACTGGCCTAGCTTGATAAGCAGGCAAGCCAGACAAATAGTACTGCGGGGGAAGGAAATCTCGGTGCATGGTTGGCCTTGTTCTCTTACCTGTCAGCAAAAAAAGCAGGAAAGGGACCTATGAAACTTTCTTCTAACATATTATCTGAATCTTATCTACTCAAACACTTCAGAGTTCAGGCAGAACAGCCAAAGTCAATTTTTGTTTGGAGTGTTTAAAACCAAAGATAAACAGAAGGGAGAAGTTGTGTGTGGGGAGGTCCTGGGGCGGAGAAGGGACTGGGTGGTGGGATTGGGGAGGGAGTGTTTTAACCTACGTTGACGCTTCTGAAATCTTCTTGGAAGTATCTCCTCTCCTCAAATGACAATGAAATTGCACAGTACATATTTGCGGGGGGTGAGGGGCATCTACTGGCTTGTATTCAGGGGCCAATATTCTATCTGACCTCAACAGGCTGGTGAAACAATGGTCAGTATAAATTAGAGAACAGATTTGTCATGGCTGTATGCTACTTACCTGGCACTAGAAAGCCTAAAAAGTGCCTTTGGAAATGTATGAAACAGGAATTGAATTTTCAGAGCTTTGTCTGCTAATATTTTAAAATACAAAAAAAAGTGCTTTACTGGACTGCAGGACTCCAAAGTGCCTGAAACCCTGTGGACCCTCACAGTGTACACTGCTGTGCTAGTCCACACACAACAGAATCCTTAGTATTTCAGGAATATTTTGTGAACTTCCCTCTCTTGCCAGCTGAAAGCAAGCACCTGGGTGTTACTCGGACCCAGTTCTGTTTGATAATTGGGAGACTAGTTATTCCCCCGCCCTTCATTGAAACAGATATTCTCAGCTCAGCTCTCAAGCCAACTCAGCGCTATGTTTATATGGTAGTATTTCATCCATAAAAAATCTCCTTCAGTTTACTAACATCTTGTTTACTGAGTGTTATGGTTTATAAAAGCTACAAGGGCTAATGCTGTTGGAATAGCTTTTGCCGTTTACTGACCAATCACTGCCGTTTTTCAGAGTTGCTATGTCCCAAAGGAAGCTCCAAGAATGATTGTGCCTCAAGAGACGTAACTACTTCCAATTCTGTAATGTGGATGCAGAGTATAAATTGTCTGGCATCATCTTTTATGATGCAGCCCTATCCCTTTGGTTATGTGTCATCTGCTCTGTGATTAAGGAAGAAAAAGCAAGATGCAATTCCCTGCTTTACGCTTCCTTCCCTGTGGTGTAAATTGTATAGAATGGCATCCAGAAATGCATTTGCTTCCAATGGTTTGAGCAGGGCTTCAACAAGGAATTCTAATCTGATACTGTCAAACTTTATTTCAAGTATAAAAGAGAGAGAAATAAAAGCATTATTATGAAATTAAAACACTGCTGTTACTAATTCCCCTGTCTATGACATGTAGTGTGATTGGTAGTTGTGGCTAGATCATCCTTTCTGTTTTAAATGAGAGCTGGCCTTGAATCCTGTTTCCTTCTTCTGTTCCCTGCTTGTAGAAATTTCATTCCCAATGTTTTCTGTGAGCTCTTCTTTCTTCTTTGTTGTTTTCGGTGCTATTTTGAAGACTTTTGAATACTTTTTTTGTCTTTAATTGTCTGACTGTACTACTCTTAGAATAATTTCAGATAGAAAGCATGTAAAATTCAAATGAAATACTCTATGAACTAAGAAGCGACAAAAAGCAAGCACTATTACATGTTTTCAGAGGTTACTAAAATCAAATGACTCTGAAGTCTGTCTTGTTTTCATGTGCCTGACACACAGATACTTTGCAAATAAAGACATGTGAGTGTTGCATTGGCAGAATTAATGACTGCATATATTTTTCTAGCAGCAGACAGATCCTCCTGTATTCTTATTTAGAAGTGTAGATAATCCATATGTCATTTTTATTCCTCAATTATGATAGTATCTTCCCACATTCTCCTTCTTCATGGTTCTTGTGGAAACCTAGGGTTGGGGCAAAACTTGCAGCTTGTGAATTTTCCAGAGTATTCTATATGCACTGACTAGACACTGTTGGCCTCATGTTTCATGAAAGAGCGGAGTAATAGTAAAGTATGGTTGGAAGAGATCTTGAGAGGTAAAATTAGGGATCAGCTACAGTGATATAATTTCTGACAGATGTTTGTCTATGTGATTCTCAAACTGATAGTTACAGAATGAATTGAAGGGGAATTAGAATGTGTAAGAGGGGAAGAGAGTATATTGCCAGAGTTTCTGGGAACAGAGTGCAGGATGTATCCAAGGAGTCTGAGATAAAGAGAGGGCTAAGCAGCGCATTTCTGCTCTCTTCCCTCCCGCTACCTTTTCCCAGCCACATCTTCTATACCCATCTCAGTAGTTTGCAGCATTCATTCTTCCACAAAAGAATCCATGGGGTATCCCTTTCTCCCCATTAATCTGAGAACCACTGAGTAATCCGTTGGGGAGGAGAATGCCAAGGGCATAGATTGTACTGGAGCAGGGAGAGAAAGCATTCAGATGAACTTTGATGTTCCTAAAGACCTGAAGGGATGGAGATTCTCTAATATTTTCAGGCATTCTCTTCCAGTGCTTCAGTAGCCTCCTAGTGTCTAACATGAATCTTTACTTCCAGTACTGCTCGTAGTTCTCCTCTTGAAGAAGACATTTTCGAATGAGGTGTTTTTCAATGCTAAGACTGTAGGCATTGGCCTGTAAGTTTTGAAGGATTATATATCTTTATATATACCAGTAATGACAAGTGATATTCAAATATTATTGTCATATATTAATTTTACATGTTAAACATTTTGGAGCAGATAACTTTGAGCATCCCAATACATATGTAAGAAGCCCACGAGACTGGTTTGCAAACACATTAGGAAGTTGAATGTGCACATGGCTGATTGCACAGTAACATATGGAGATAAGTAAGTACCTGCAGTGGATGTGGAATGTGGGTGTAATTGTGCAAACTGCATATGTAATCAGAATAATTAAGGAATAGTTTATATGCATTTTGAACTTACATTTGTGTGTGCATATCTTTTAAAAATCAGTTACTTTCTCTGTCCCTGGCATCAGCCAGTGAACATACCACATATGAGTCATTTTTGAGTGCTCTTGCTAAAGGACTAAATCACAAGCTCTCCTTATTTATAAAAGAAGGAAGCACTTCCAGTAGAGCTGTTTTGTAACTGTTAAAATAGGAGGAAATTTAACTAAACCAGTTTATTCTGGTTACTATGAAAAATGTTGTCTGTGAAAACATAAAAGCACTTACAAAATGTCAACATTTCAGTCCTATCTGCACATAGATCAATATGAATAGGTCACAGTAACCTCTTAAAGAGAGGAGGTCTGCATGACAACCAAAACTAATTATCTAAGGTTCTAGAAAGAAAAACAAACCACCTTTATCCATAGGGTGTCTGCTCTCAACAGGATGATTTATATCAAATAAGTTTGCATGATCTTGTTTTAAAATGGCTTCTTTTAACTTTGTATTGTAGCAAAAGTAAAACTTCTATCTATACCAACGCTACGCCAGTGCATATTTAATCTAGAAATATATATTCTGCGTTGCTCATTGTTTCAGTTTGCTGCTGTGTGAAATGACTCTCTCTCTTGACAGG